AAAAAATCTTTGACTGATCACACTAATTTCCAGATTTAAATCCAAATAAACATATATTTTACATGCTGAAACAGTCATGGTGAAGTCAAAACTAATATATTGATAAAACCAATGTTCTACAACAGAGGCTTTATTTTTTTAGTTTAGAATCACAGTTTAATACTGGAGAGCTTCACTGTGTACACAACTAGACCCGTGGAACTCACATGAACACAGCCACCCAATCAAGACATTCACACAATTGTGTCAATAAGAAGTAAAATACAATTCTATGGAGAACAGAATTTATATGGTTTGCATATGCATATGACATACTGAATCTATTCTCTACGTTAATACTGAAATAGATATTCTGGTTACACAATTTGGTTAAAGATTAACAGTTAACAGTTAAGGTTAATTTCTCTGTAGCTGTGAGTTTATTAGAAGTGTGATTCCCTGAAACACTCTTGTGTAGATATGAAAACTGAAGATTTTTCAGTTTTTCCAGTTTAAATCAATTATCTTTAGTTCAACATAATTATCTCATAAAAACAAAGCATTATATTTTATGAGATGAATCCCCATTTATTTTAATAGGATACCAATATGAATAAAATATGGTACAGTGAATTACATTTCATTATTCATTTTTCAACACAAGTGCAGCATGATGGCACAGTGGTTAGCATTGCTCCTTTGCAGTGCTAGGGCCCTGGGTTCAATTTCCAGACAGCTGTCTGTGTTCTTCTCCCTGTTTCCTCCAGGTCCTTCAATTTTCCTCCCACAGTCTAAAAACATACTAATAATATTAATTGGCTTCTGTAAAATCAACCCTAGTGTGAGTATATGCATGTCTGTGTCTATCTGCTCTGCAGTGGACAAATGTTCCACAGTGTTTGTGTGTACGCTGTTTTCTCTATAATGTTAAAAATGACAAAATATCTAATATGTTATGGTATTTTGAGTTGGACTGGCATCCTGTCCAGGGGGCATCCTGTCTTGTGCACTTTGATTGCTGGTATAGGCTCTGGCTTCCAAACAGCTCTGTACTGGATTAGCCATTTAGGAAATGGAAGAATGGATGGATAGATAGTTTCAATATTTAGAAACTCAGGTTTACTTTCTATTTATAAATTATTAAATACAAAGAAATATATTTTATTACAGCTTAACATAGTACAATGGATATGAGACCAAAAGCCTTGAATACAGAAAACATATCAATTGTAATTATATTTTTGAATTTCCATGGAATTTCCATTGCATGGTAATATAATAATATTATGATATTAGATAACATGTAAACATTCTTTAATTTGTACAAGCTACTCTGTAGTGGGCAAAACCCATTTTAATACTTTATAATATGGCCTGTTGATAAGATATTGTTAATTCTATACACATGATTAGTAGATGTTAGAAAAAAAGTACAAGATGAAAATTAGTTCATATGGTTAGTTTCAATATATGATGCCCATGTCACAAAGATAAATACATTATTTTGCATCTCTTTCTTATCCATTAATATTGTGTCTTAATAACAGAAGTAATGTCTGGAGACATACTTGTGTCATGCGTGTGTGATAAGCTGATCACTTTTATCCCAAATCAATTCAGATTTTAATAAATTGATATTCATCCATTTGTTACAAGATATACAAAGATGTATGGCTTGTTTATAAAAAACAAAACTATCCAAAATATTTGGATAAACGTAATAATTAAATAGAATTAATATAGTAGGCCTCACTATAAAGCATTTCTCTTAACCTATTATAGTTAACATTTTTCTCTGTTTCTACTGATGTATTGACATTACAGTTAGACACTTTACATTTAGCAGATAACACTGTTTTGCAGCTTATATTATGCAGACAATAATATTTAATTCACGTCCTCCTTTGTCAGTGGATATGTCAATGTGCACATCTCCTTCTGACACCCAGTTTTGTCCTTACCATCAATTAGGACTATTGGAAATGTCAAATGGAATTTAATGATGGCACTTACAGAATCAAACACCTAAAGAAAAAGAGAATAAAGATTTAAGTTATTCATGGGTTGAATAAATCACACCATACAGTAATTTATGTATTATGCTAGTAAGGATTTTTTGTGAATCCTTTTGGGATTTATCAACTTCCTATGCTGACTAAAGAAAAACAAATTCTTGGTAAAATTGTCAAAGATTCTTGTTTTATGATAATTGATATTTAGATGATATGTAGGCTAGCAAGATAAAGTGTTACTTAACAACATTAAAAGGTTTATCTAAATTACAAATTATTATTATGAATCAATATTACTTAATTATGAATACTTATTTTTTAAACTCATACTTACATCATTTCTCCACAGTCCTGTTCCAAGAGCATACCTTTGTTTGTCTCTTATATATCTGATTTTAATGTTGTACACTTTGTTTCTGTAAAACACCACTAGGACATAAGGTTCATCAGTAATGTTCTTTGAACAGTCCCGGACTAAGAATGCTCCATCCTGTTTAAAAATAAATATTCAAATACTTTAGTATTTGACTAAAAGGTGCATTCTAACTCTGACACAAATAAAGTAACACCACTGTACTATGCTGTTAAATTTTGGCCGGGATCAGTTTAAATTTAAATTCATTAATTTAATTTAAATTTAGTTTTAATTAAAATTCTGTTATAGACATTAATTTATTACAGTTGTGAAGAACAACTATATATGCTGTTTCTAATTAAATTTAAATTTAAAGTTATCTTTGATAATGTGAATTTTCCCTGTAGCAGAAAGACTTATTTCTACTTTAAGAATCAAGTGTTATTAAAGATATGTAGTAATCTTTCTATTGGCCTTGACAAAGCACCTTGGGCCTCTGTGTAATAAGAATGAAGCTAAAAGAGATCACTCTTTTAATCAGTCTAAATCACAAACAGGGTTACTGTAAAGCTACAGTATATTTATCACAGGTTACTGTCCATCACCCACAACATGACTAACCAATGAAGAAGCTACTCATCTAATGACATCCTGACCAATTGCCAACTGTGATTTTCTGCTTAAATGGGAATGGACAACTCATTTTTGGGTTTACTTAACTTGCTAGCCCTCTCCACTCTAGATAACCTGGTAATCTAACTCCCTGAACAATGTGACTGCAAGCACTCTGAATCAGGACTTTTAACATTTTTTAGGATGCCAGGCCAACAGAGAGTCAGTTAATTCTGTCCAGGGCATTCATTCTGACTTATTTTCACCTGATCAATAGAAATAAATACAGCTGGAGTCTTTTTGTCGACATCCTGATTATCCAAGTATATTCAGTGATAAGCTATAGCCAGGGTGAACTGATTTTCCTATGCATCTTACTTGTGACTGGACCCAAGCAGACACAAGATCTTTAGATTTTTTCAAGAGCTATCCTATGCAACACTAGGCAAAGCTTCCCCCTCTGTCTATGCCACTGGAACATTTCCAGCACAAAGCAAGCAGCTGACAGATTGAATCTTGGCAAGAACCCTGCCCAGCTCAGTGTTCAGCAGAAAGTCCAAAACTCATCGAGAAAAGCTTGGCCAACAGATCTTTGACTGTAAAATCTTTTGATTCATATAACAATTCTCGAACTTAAACTATCATTTCAAATGAGTTTGATAATGTTTAGTTCATGATAATGGATGCATATATACTTGTTTTTGAATATATACAGTACTAATGTACTGTATGGGGAAAAAGAAACGCAACATTTTCTGGAATGAAAATACTATAGTTATAGTTATAGTATATATAACTATATAGTTATAGTTATAGCTTATCTACTTTCACAAAAAGTTGTCAATTTGTTTTAAGCCCTCTGACCAGCAATACAGCTTGTGCAGTGAGGCACTGCAACTTGCCAATCACACGAAAGCTTGTTAGGTGCACTTTTACCCAACGAGGTCCAGGTGGAAAATGCCTGGTCACCTTTAAAATGGCCTTAATTCAAAGATAAGGTCACTGGAAGGGAAAGGCTACACTTAGTCAGCTTTCTGTGCATTCCATAATGCCTAGAATGTCATCAGAAGCAAAAGAGAGGGCCATTGACATACTGCAGGCAGGCATGTCATGTGCCAGTGTTGCCAGATACTATGGAGTAAGTTGCTCCACTGTGTCCCAACTGCAGAGAAGGTTTCAGCAGACCGTCAGGACAGATGACCATTCAAGATCTGTTTGCCTTCGAGTGACCACACCAGAGCAGGACCAACATGTCAAGCTGGTCCGTCTAACAGATCTTTTCAGATCTGACACCTACGCTGCTGCTGAAACTGCTGGCAGACACAATGCCCTCATTAGTGACATAACAGTTAGGCTCCATGCTGCTGGCCTTAGAGCAAGGTGACCTGTCTGAGGCCCTCTGCTCAAACCTCCTAAATGTCACAACCACCTGGCTTGGGACAGACAGAGGCTTTGTTGGACTTGTCAGCAGTGGCATCAGGTCCTCATCATGGATGAGTCACTCTTCAGCCTGTTCCATTCAGACAGGAGGGCTAGAGCGTGGAAGAGGAGGAGGTGATACGTTTCTTTTTTCCATCAGTATATAAATGTGATTAACTATATGAGACAGATATACCGAAAAGGTAAACAAAAGCATACTATAGGCAATATATTTTATCTCTGATGTTACTAATCTTTGTCTTTGTAATCCTTGAGTGAATGATCAACCATTTGTATCATAGAAGATAAATTCACAAATATATTCTAATTCAATTATATTCTATTACTTTTGTTGTTGCTACTCTTGTTGGTTTGCTACAGTATGTATGTTTCGGTGTTGCATCAGTAACTTGCATAACATCTGTCTGAGACTAAATTGTGTTTCGTTCCTACCAATTATCAAAGCACTTTTGCAATATGCAATTAAGAATTATTTCAGTAAATTAAAACATGCATATCACTACAACATGTTTAAATATATATAGTTGCAGTTACTCTGGGGTAACCTGGAGACTGTCTCAACTGTCTTGTGGTTCTGTTTTTTTGTCATGTTTTTACAATGGCACATAGCTCCACACAAATACTAGCATACTAATCACAACTGCCATGTGAAACAAAAATAAGAAACACCTGTGAATGATGAAGTGTTACATTATAAGTGTGTTTCAGACAAAACAAGGAATAACATTTAAAACATAAAAAAATAATACATATTAAATATAACAAGAAACCTCAGCTTATATTATACTGAAACTACATTACTATTTGTGAAATAAAATAATTATATCATACCCACTGCAGTTCACTGCTCAAGGAACATTGTTTTTTTTTACTGTATTTTTCAAAGATTCTTAGACAAATTTCAAAAGGTATCAAATTGATTGTAGAATGCAATTTCAAGTTTCAAGTGAAACTTTTCCAGTGACAAACTGGAGGAACCCAGTAATAATATGGACCTTTTTTTTAAATCTGTGTGTTAAGGTCTGGATGTGTTCCAAGTTTTGACACGTACAGTTTGATCAGAGTTTTAAAAATGTAATTTGTTTATATGGTATTTAGAGTGTGCTACTGGAAAATCCTTAAAGTTGTTTTCTGTGGAATGTGTTCAGAGTAAGACATTTTCTTCAAAGCAGTAAGAAGAACAAGAAAATTAGAAAGCTTTAAAGCACATGAGAATATTTGGACCATCTAGTTCATTGTTGGTTTGTATATAATTAAACTAATGATTTTATAAATGTGTTTATATTGAATTACCAGTGAATCATTGACAAGGTTGTTAGTTTGTTCTGTTCTAGTAATTGTAGGGTATGGAACCTGAGGCATTTCATTCCATGGGCTGTGTTTGCCAACCAACCAAGTTGTGTTGGGAATGTGGATTCACTGGGGGCAATTGAAATCTTGTTGGGTTTCATGGGTCATTCAGTAAATGACAAGCTGAATCACTTAAGGAACATAAACGTATAAAAAAGAACACAAATGAGAGGAATCCATTTGGTCTGTCTACTGTAGCTTGTCTTGCTAATTGATCCAAGGATCTCATTCCACCGTTTTTTGAAAGAAACCGTGGTATCGACTTACCACATCACACCATCACACAAACCTTTGAGTACAGAAGTGAATCCAGTTGTTGGTTTAAATTTATGAATATTTACATTTGTGAAGACATTCACTGTGTTATATAATGCATAATTAGATTAGGTGATAATCTAATTTAAGACTGTAAATTATTGTGTTTGATTGGTTTTTTAAAGTCATGAAGCACTTTCACAATTACTGTCACAATTTCTGATTGTAAAACCAAATTAAAACTCCCAATCTCCTGCAACATAAACACCTATGTGCTTTCATAAGTAGTTACTTCAAGCTCAGTGTTTCCTATTTTGTATTTCTTAATATTTTTTGTTACCTGTATGTAATAATCTGCACTTGTCTACATCAAATGTCACTTACCAGGTGCCCACTGTTAAATTATTTCTCAATATTTTGATTTCCATTTGCTGTTTGCTAATGTTTGCTAATCCTGTTTTGGCATTATCTATAACTTTGACTATACCATAATCTAGATTGATATAGATTAAAATTAGAATTAGAAAAAATGAATAATTTAAAATAAAAGTGAAAATATTTTACCATTTGCGTAGCATACAAGGCATTTTCTGCTTCATATCGATCACAAGCCCCAATGTACCATTTATAGTCATTTAAGTTCTGAAAAAAAAGAAGCCAAATAAATGGAAAACATACATATAAAAGCAAAATATTTTTTAACAAATTATTTGTTATTGTTCTAAATCAGTATTGAATCTTTTTCAATAATACTGTGTGAAGAATATACAGTAACTTCCCCAAGACATGTGCTTTCAGGGAAGATATATTTATGTTAATATATTTTGCTAGTTGTGTTTTGGTACTAATAAAAACTAAAAGTTGATATGATATGTATATATCTCTTTTTTAATGCAGGATAGATCTTAAAGTTTAGCATTCAGAACTTGAAATCCCAGCTGGTACCTGAGATGTAGCACAAAAAAATATGAAGCTACTGAGATATGATTAATACATGATACGAATAGCCATTGATATTGGACGATAAGTCGACTATATTTTGTGGTTTATTTCACATCTCCTATATATTCCATGTTCTTGCAGGAGTTAATTTTATCAAAGAAAACATTGAATATTTACACCTAGTTTTTCTGCTTCTTCTCACAGTAATAATAGAAAAGGCTGAAGTGAAAGTATGACATGTATACAGTATATGAAGGTATGACAGGATGTATATGAAGTAGTTTTCTCAGATAAATTATGGACAGCAGCAGCTAATCAAGAGAATCGCAATTAACAGACCTACACTTTGTTTCAAATAATTGGTAATTCTATATGTCTTTTAATGGTAATTGTATCTCTGATTTAAAGTTATCAAGGCATCCAAAATGTTTCTTTTGAAAAATCTTTCACAGAAGTGGCCAAATAACAGTTCTAAAAATGTACATATATTGAGACTGTAACATGAAAATAAAAAAATACAGCATTTGGTAATACACTATAGAGTGTTAACTGTACCGGTGATGTTTTCCTTGCTAAATCCCTGGGTGTCTCCAAACCATGGTCTTCCCAAGTGGGTCTGTGCTTTTTCATGTCTTTTTTAACTGGTGGCCATTCATGGTTGTATTTTGGCATTTGACTTGGCATTACAGCTGTGAAATATTGAATAAAATAAAACAGGTACATGTCAATGACTTTTCATTGGAGTAAACAGACCTCAATAAGTGAATGTAATGTATAGGGCATACAGTTTACATCATAAAATATGTATCATATTCCTTGAGGTGCCACAATGTACTTTAATACTTCCATCATGTGATAAGACATGCAGTCAACTGGTTTTCTGCTGCAGAGAGGAGAGGGGACATTTGACAGGTCTACCAACTGATACGCAAATTAAAAGTTTTAACTCGGGCAGTTTCACATTTTTTAAACAGCCCTATTAATATTTTTGAAGGGAATAGGTTTTTTCTGCTTTTCTACAATCATTTAATTAGTTTAAATGATGAACAAATGCAAAAGCAAAACATAAGTTTTATTATCCCCAATTTTGATCCCTATCTCGGACCTAAAATGGAAGTGTCTAACCTCCTAATGTATTTTAACAATTCTATTTTTGAAAACACAATGACAAGTACTAAATAGAAGACAAACAACAGAGCTTTCATACACCAGAACATATAAAGTTTTTAAGAAAAAGCATCTGACTATGTTTTTGCCTTAGTAAACCTTAACCTATCCAGCCTTCTCTCCTTAAGATTCATTTCAGTGAATGAACACAGCCAGGATTGACCTATTGGTCCCTCTATTTTTAAAATGTCTCGTGATTACAAATGTCAATGTGTGAGCAACGTGGAGGTGTGTGAAACTTGGTAACCATGAGCATGACAACTAGTATCTAAACTATAACAAAATATATTATTACTGTACTACATATACACTAATATTATCCATAGCATATAGGGGTGTCTCAGGATCTAAGACACAATGGCAATAATTCAGAACTGAGATGTTTGCTGAGTTGTAGGGGTCTGAGACATATTGATCACAGAAATCTCTGGTTTACCTTAGTTAAAGGTAACTTAATTAAGTTCTTGGTACATTATTAAGAATCTTCAACAGTCCAGGAAAACAGAATAAAAGGACAGGTATAGAAGGGGAAGAACACAGAGAAGAGAAAAAAGGAAGACTTGTGAGGCAAGAGGGCCTTGTTCAGATCAACCTTAAATATCAGATTCTAATTAAATATTTGAATCTTAAGAGAATGTGCCATTCTGTTGCTTTTAGGCAACTTTGACTTCCTGTTTAAAGAATTCCTAGTTTAAAAATGTTCTCTCTTGGCTAGTGGATGCATTTTTGGAATACAGACATGGGTTCCATTTGCTTTCTAGCATCTGGAATTATATCTAGACCGATTTAACTCTAGATTTAAGATAAGGTTACATTCTGTTTAGTTTAGAAAGCAGGTTTATCCCTCTTGTGTTCTATGTTATATTGGATCCTTGAATACTTGGTGGCGGTCTGGGGTTTTTCGGTTTGGTCAGGACATAGGCCTCTGAGATGCCTCTTTTGAAACTAGAGTAACATGCATGTGCTATGTTGGGTTATATGTTGTTTAGGCTTAGTGTCATTATTAATAAATATTAGTTTATCCCCAGTCTGTGTCTGATTTATTTATCCTGTGCCAAAGAACAAAGATCTCAAGTTGACATGTCAGCCACTCGGGTATATTCTTGGCATATCTTTTACAATTTGGAGATTGTTGATTATCCTGCTTTGTCAATTTTCGGCATTCTCTAAATTTTGTAACACCCTTTTTTGTAACAATATTATATATATTAAAAATTAAGGGGAAATGTGATTAACTTCATTGTAAGCTAGTTGTTCTTCATTTGCAATGGCATAACAACATGTCTGCCACAACTCATACTGTAAGTGTTGCTACTTACTTGTAAGTGTTGTAAGTGTTGCTACTGTACAGTTGCTAGTGTAAGACTTAACCAAAGATAAACAAAGATGTTTTTTTCCCGGACACCTGGTCGAACCCATCTTATACGACATAAGATCATCACGGAATCAGGGAAGAAGGTAAGGCTACCCCCGTATCGAGTACTAGAAGCCAAAAGGAAATTGATTAAAGAAGAGGTGGGAAAAATGCAGGAGAATAATCGAGGAATCCCATAGTGCGTGGGCTAGCTGATCCCCAAGCTGGATGGAACTATTCGATTTTGCAATAATTTCAAAAGGTTAAATGAGATCTCGCTGTTTGATGCATACCCCATGCCCGGTATAGATGAACTAATCGAGCGATTAGGTAACGCCTGATACATCAGCACCCTTGATCTACGAAGGGATATTGGCAAGTGCCGCTGGCCGAAGAAGATAAAGCCAAAACCTTTTTTGCCACACCTGAGGGACTAAATCAGTATAGGGTCCTACCCTTCAGTTTGCATGGCGCTCCCGCAACGTTTCAAAGATTAATGGACCGAATTCTGAGACCATGTCGGGATTTTGCAGCCGCCTACTTGGATGACGTCATGATCCATAGCACGACCTGGGAACAACATCTACAACACCTGGAAGCAGTGACTGGAGCGTTGCGAGCAGCAGGATTAACAGCCAACCCAAATAAATGTTGTCTGGGGGCTAGAGAAGCCAATTATCTGGGTTATACAATTGGGAGAGGATTGATCATGCCCCAAGATCAGAAGGTGCAGTTAATTAAGAACTGGCCCAAACCTGCTACCAAGAAGCAAATCTAAACATTTTTGGGACTGGCAAGTTACTATTGACGTTTCATTCCAGGGTTTGCCTCCATTGCTGCCCCTCTGCAAGACTTGACAAAGACGAGCTGTCCGGAGAAAATAAAATGGAGCGACTTGGAAGAGAGGCCTTCCGAGACTTAAAAGCAACTCTCTTTTCTCAACCCGTCTTACAGGTACCAGACTTCAATAAACCTTTCATGGTACAAACTGATGCTTCGGACACTGGAATTGGAGCCATACTCTCGCAAGAAATTGAAGGACCGGAGCATCCTATTCTGTATATCAGCCATAAATTAAATCCGGCCGAAAAACACTATTCTACGATAGAGAAAGAATGTCTAGCAATCAAATGGGCCCTAGACTATTTGAGGTATTATTTATTGGGAAGACGATTTATATTATACACAGATCATGCGCCATTAACATGGATGTTACAAAATATGGATAAAAATGATAGAATTACACGATGGGGTCTTAGTCTGCAAAGGTATATAGACCAGGAAGGAAACAAGGAAATGTAGACGCCCTCTCCCGAACGCACTGTTTATTTTTTTCTAGATCGTCCGAGGTCGGTGCTGATCTCAGGGGGAGGGAATGTAAGAGGATCCGGGGAAGGGTAATTTATGACCGGTATTTCCGGAACGAAACACTGAAAATACTTGATATAGACCTGGGCAAGATGGCCACCCAGGATAACCAGCTGACCCGCTATTGGAAAAAGCCTATGCACAAGGAGACACAGCTGAACTACATCAGGAAACAGGATATAAATGCCCCAGAAGCGATGAGCCGGTGCGAAAGCCGATAAGGTGAAAGCGTTTCGGAGGAAGGAGAGATATTAGGAGTGTGCTGGAAGATATTTAAGAATAACAGACTATTGGATATGGGTTTTGACTAGGATTACGGATTACGGCTTGGATACGGCGCAGAGTAGTGTGGACATACGGATTTGAGAACTTGGATCGTTTAAGGATACTGGCAACAGATTGCGGAACGGATTTGGGGAGACATACGGATGAATAACACAGAAGAACAGTGTGGTGTGAGTTAGATCTCTTTTACACCTATTTTCCCCCGGCGACACCACACTAGCTACTTATATTCAGTCATTGCAGTAATGTTTGCTTGGCTCAGATTTTTTCAAGAAATGGATGGATGAGATCCTTTTAACTACTAACTACAAAACTTGCTAGTTGGTTTTAATGGCCTCCTCTCATTTGTAACCATTCTTATGAGTGAAGAATTATTAATTACATATGGATTGAATACCATATTCAGAGAAATAATTACTGAAGCTATGCTAAATGGAAAATAAGATATAATGAAAATTGATAATCTTGGAAGTTTTCCTCTTGTCATAAGGAAAGATGTATTTTGAGAAACAAAATAATATTTTTGTGAAAATCCTAGAGAAATTATGGATACAGATAGTTTAGTTGATGTTAACATTGCCTTTTTGTTGCACACAGTTATTTTTACAATAAACTAATAAAATAAAAAGTAGAAAAACATAAAACATAGTCAAAGTACACTCATTTTATACTGAATTTTTACAATCCTGTTGTAGTATTGATTGTGAACTAACATAGCAGTGTGGCATTTTTTTATTGTTTTTATTTAAAACAAACATCTGTGATGTTTGATCATAACACCACCATAACACCAAAGGTAATGTTAAGTAACTCATGAAGAACTGACACATAACTGACACATAATCAGCAATATAGCAACTTTTTTTTCAGAAAAATTTAAATTAAATCAAGATTATCCACTAGATATTTAACAGTGAAATTATGATGGAAATCTAATTAAACATCAGTGTGACAACACATTTTGTAATTGACCTACCATGAGATATATTTGTATGCATAGTTAAAGACACAATAATATAGCAATAAATATTATTTAAAAATACAGGTGCAGCCATCTGTGCAAGGTGTCTGTAGGTATACTATGTTAGGGAAAATGGTGTCATGGACTCTAGCATGGCATCTTTTTTTTTCATTTAAACTGCCAATGTAATGTACTGTAATGTGGCCTGGGCAGAACCTGCAGGAAAGCATGATTTTGAAAAGTGGATTAGCATTTTTGATGTAAAACACTGTGCAATCATTTCTGAAATTCAGAAAACAAATGTCCTGGTCCCTAGAATGATTCCGTAAAAAATCACAGTTAAAAAAAAAAATCAAGTTTTGTTCCAGGCCCCATTTATGGAATATAATTATAATAATTGCTTACGCTTATATAGCGCTTTTCTGGACACTCCACTCAAAGCGCTTTACAGGTAATGGGGAGACTCCCCTCCACCACCAACGTGCAGCATCCACCTGGATGATGCGATGTCAGCCATAGTGTGCTAGAACGCTCACCACACATCAGTTATTAGTGGGGAGGAGAGCAGAGTAATGAATCCAATTCATAGATGGGGATTATTAGGAGGCCATGATTGGTAAGGGCTAATGGGAAATTTGACTAGGACGCCGGGGTTACACCCCTACTCTTTTCGAGAAACGCCCTTGGATTATAATATAATCCACTTTACAGAAAAAAAAAATAAATTGTAAAATTAGATTTTAAAACTGTAGCTAGGCTATGTATTTATATATTTATGTAACATATATAATATATTTTCAAGAAATATGAAGTATCATTAAATGCAATGTGTGCAGTATCATGTGCCACTTAGAGATCTGTTTTGAGCTGTGGAAGGGCTGAAAGCGGCATGCTGGACAGGACTGTGGTATACTGCAGTGTACTTTCCACCGACGTGAGTTTCGACATACATCACAGATGGCTGCATCTGTACATACCTAGTATAAACATATGCCTTTTCATTTTATTGATGTAATTGAAATACAATAAACTAAGCTTTGAATCAAATATGGTACAACAGCATTCAGAACTTTACCAGAATGAGGTCCTTGGTTGTATGATAGCCTTAAAGAAAAAAAGAGAAAAAAGAAAAATAATTATGAATGGTTAATAACATACACATATAACGAACTATACATGCATTATATATATCGTTTTACATGGACATACATATATCAAAGAATGGTTAGAACTGCTACAGTATTACACTGAGCAGTTGCACATGCGATTTTTACCTTGAATTTGAAGTGTCTCTGAATTCCAGATCTTGTAAGCACCTTGGAGCTGGATGAGGAGATCCTGATGCACAACATATAAAACTTAAAGTTTTATGTTTAATTATGTTTTACTATAAGGCATACTGGATGTATGACCATTTATTCTATGAACTGTGAACATTTTCATTGTGGTGACAAATACAATCTGATAACCTGGAATGAAGAGCTGTCAGAATAACACCAAAATGTGTAAATGTTAAAATAATTCTTAAAATGCTAAAGAAAATCATTAAAATGGAAATTTCGCTAGGTATGATTGTACAATTGTAAATTAGCCAGGACCCAGGGACAACATTCTGTGATGGACTGGCATCTTGTCGAAGGTATATCCTGCCATGCACCCAATGCTTCCTGGGACAGGCTCCAGGCCACAGTTTCTTTAACTGGTTAAGATGCTACTGAAAGTTAGTATGAAGTTATTTTATATCTCAAACATTTTAAATTTTTCCCCTCAAAGCAGCTTATACATACCATGATGTTGAGAAACACTACTAGATAGACAGTTTTCCTAAGAAGAACAGAAAATATTTTTTTTTTCAGTTTTTTTTGTCCCCTCATTTCACAGCTAGTAGTCTAAATTTGTACAGTAATTAGTCCTGGGGGGGACCCGCAGGACAGCATGATTGACAAGCAATACATTTTATACTTTGGAATGGTAATAAAATTCAGAATGTTAATTGTAGACATTTACTTTGAGAACAAAATAAATTGAACATTCTGAACTGGTGTCATGTTCTGTTGGTGAAGAACCAGTGCTCTGCGTACTGCATGTATACAGAGTAAACTTTTTCTTATACTCTTTGACTGAGCTTGTTATTTTACTATAGATTCGGTTTCTGTCTAGAAATATCACAAACTGATTAATAATTTTATTTAAAATATTTTTGTAGATGCTGAAATGTACAGATGCAGCCATTCAAAATGCATGGTACAAACCCATACCGTGGGCAACTACTTGTGCGTCACCGCGGCATACCACGGTATGTGATTGGCTGGCCAAAATGACCGACAGGGGCTCTCGTGGTGCATTGCTCGGTAGTGAAAAGATTTAATCATTTAATCTCTTTACTGTGCACATTTTAATCCGCTTAGTATTGAATATTTATGTGGAATTTTACCACTAAAGGGAAATTTTAGTAGCTGAGCATAAAAAGAATAGGAGCATAACGCACCCGAAGGTCATAAACGATATTAATTTAGGAACATAAACACATTATGTAAACTGTATGTTGCTGGTATTGGTATTTTAAAGAAAAAATACACACCAGTATTCCATTTCTCCCTAAACATTTTAAGCATCAAAGTCTAACGTGGTTATTTCGAAATGTTTCTACGTGCTCCTTCTGACCATATTAGTGTACGTTTATATACTTTGTGAAAATTGATCATTTTAACCTTTTCTGCTAATATGCTCGTTATCGGATTAAACAAAAGCATACTTTTAGAATTAGATTAATAGGGAATATAATATGGATTTGCGTATCTAAATAAATTAATAACGGTATAACAATATTCATAAACAGTATGTGTATGGCTGTTTCAGTGGCTGTTACATGATTTGAATTGGTGGCATGATGGCTTAGGTGACTGATTTATAACTCTGAGGTCGGGTGTTCAAACCCAGCTGTCGCCATGAGTTTTCTTTTTAAAAATAAACATGTCTTTGAAAAACTAAAATAGCAAATATTATTGGCATTATATTGACGTTTATTATATTTCTATATATAACAACATTTTCGTATTGTTGGTACACAGTGCTACTGCAGGGTGTAGGGTGCAAATCCACGTGAGCCCCAAAGCCCTACATTAATGTTGTGCATTCACCTTAGATTTTAGAATCGTTGAGTAAGATGCAAGTTTTTTTTTATACATAGCATTCAGAAATACAATTGAGAATAGTTTTGTGGTGTATGGATTAAACTTTTCTAAAATGTATAACAAAATTAAAGATGATTAAAATCTGTAATCTGTAATCTTTCCACGTGTCATGTCATTAGAAAGTACAATAAGTTCCTGCTTTGTCTAACGATGGTATCAAAAAAGAAACCTGTACTTAATGACAATTAAGAAACTTAGAAGTCAAAGAAAATGATTTACGTTGTTTAATTTTAAACACTAAGTTATGAACACAGACGCAATTTGTGCTTTACAGGCATTGTGCAATACTGAGCTCTGCGCTTCCTCCTTCCCAGTGCTACCTCCCCCTCTGACACAGTGCAGTGGGCAGCATGCTTTTTTCAGAGCCTTTGATAGGGGAAAAAAGACCTGCTGATCTGATCTACATACCAGGAAGACAACAGAATATGATTTTTTCTATTCAGAATGTGTGTTGTTTTTATGAAATTAATTAAGAAGTCAAAACCTTACAGCTGTAGGCATCCTCTCACGAGGCACCAGTAAATGTAAATGTACATTGGAGAAACAGGAAGGAGACTCAGAGACCGCTTCATAGAACACATCAGGGCTGTGAAGATTAAAGATCTCTCCAAGCCCATTGTTTCTCATTTCACCTCTGACGGGCGCTCTGAGTCTGAGGATGTTCAGGAGGAGCTGAGTCTGAGAAATGTTCAGGAGGTGCACTTTTTGGGCTCTGTGCTGCCTGTTTTACCTGGAGGAACCACGGTTGTTCATTGGTTGAAAGTTTCATGGGCATCCAAGACCCATGTTGGGTTACCCTGCCCTACCAGTTCCTGATTGGCTGATGATGAGTAACAATGCACTCTGACCTTAGGGTTGTAAACCAACTTGGGATGAGACTCCTTTGGAATCTCCCTGACATTGAGGCACCAGAGATGACCATTTATTAAGGTTGCTGGAGAATCTCAGCATTGGGAGTTGTTCCTTATCAGGACACTCTATCGGCTAGAAAAACACCTTAAATGTGAACCAAATGGAATGGCCGCTCTGTATCAAGCACCACTTGAGATGAAGGAGAGAAGGACTGGCAAGGGAGCAGCAAACCTAATTCCTGTACTTTGATAAGCCTTGTCACTACACAGCGTAGACAGAGATTCTAAGCTAATCACAAGGAAGAAAAATCACCTGTTTTCACGCATAAAAAGTGGTTATTAACTATCGAAACCTGTTTTTATAGCTTTTAAAGTCGTGCAGTGTCTAAGCAGGAACACATCATTATATCTCCTTTTTTATTTATTTTTTAAGAATTAAAAAAATTGTTTGCCCAGCCTAATTTTAAAGACCTCTACATGTGAAACTTTTCGCAGCCTGTACATAAAACTATAAACACAATACTGCTGACAGCAGGAAAATTCCTATACTTTACTCAGCAGCGTCTTAAAAACAGCACCCATGGTGTTCAAACCGATTTTTTTTACACAGAAGACTGACACAGCTTCGCGTTGTGAATTCTTTTTTTCTAAGAAAACATGTCCGTGGGGGAAGGTGGAGTGTCATTGGAAGACTCACCCTATTCTAATTTGAAAATACTTGTGAAACTGTTTTAATTCGGCACAACCAGCAATCCTGCAGAAAGAGAGAGATGAAAACCGCGCAGTGCCTGGCAAATACACAACATTAATGTAGGCTTTCGGGCTCACGTGGATTTGTGCCCTACACCCTGCGGTACTGCTGTGTGCATACAGTACAAACATGTTGTGATATGTAGAAATATAAAAAAAGGTCAATATAATGCCAATAATATTTGCTATTTTAGTTTTTCAAAGAAATGTTTTTTTGTTAAAAGAAAACTCATGGCGACAGCTGGGTTTGAGCTATCACGCCACCAAGGCAAGTCATGTGACAACCACTGAAACAGCCATACACATACTGTATCAATGGAAAGTCTTATACTACTGTTTGTGCAACAGTATGAATATAGTTATGCTTTTATTAATTTATTTAGATATGCAAATCTATATTATATTTCCTATTAACCCAATTCTAAAATTATGCTTTTGTTTAATCTGATAATGAGCGTATTTGCAGAAAAGGTTAAAACGATCAATTTTCACAAAGTATATAAACGTACAATAATATGGTCAGAAGGAGCACATTAAAACGTTTCAAAATAACCACATGTAAGACTTTGATGCTTAAATGTTTAGGGAGAAATGGAATACTGGTGTGTATTTTTTCTTTAAACTACCAAGACCAGCCATATACAATACAGTTTACATAAACTGTACTTTCATAAAATATACCAACTTTTTAATTTATGATGATTAACATGCTGTAATACACAGTTTAAATTTAAAAGTCTAAAGAGTATACAACTTAAATTCTTAATTGAATAAAGATCATCCCTCAGCAGTGATCGGGATTCAAAACTGGCATTTTCTGTTGACAGCTCAAATGCTGTACATGAGAGGTTAAGTTTTATTAGCTCCTCCTGGCAGTTTTACAAGGTGATTCTAGATACTATTAACATAATCTAATTTGCATATGGTAATTTGTGGTATGACATAGAATGATGCGTTTTACCGCGTTTTGATGCTACCCGCCCACCGCGTCATACCGCACTGTACCCTGCTTGTTTTGAATGGCTGCATCTGTATCTTTTATTTCCTGATATTCAAATTTAGTTGTAGTTTTATTATCTGCAGTATGTCTTAGATATATGTAATAATATAAATGCATGTGTCAAACGAATAAGAAACACAGATGCAAGTCATGCAATCACAATAACTGATCTGGCACAATGAATCCCAGGCCAGTGACTCAATGACAGATAAGCCATCAACAAATGACATTTATAAAATACTATTTTACTCTTTTAAGGTATTTTAAAATAACTAACTATAATAATAGCAAAATAAGAATTGTGATATAGTTTAGAAATACTTACTATTCCTTTTCTTCCTGTGCTGTGGAACCAGTAAGAAAAAAAACCCATAAATCTTTGCAAAATGTCTTATATGATAGTTCTTATCTCTAACAGGGAACATACTGTACTGTATATAGTAGAATACAATACAACATGATGGTCCAGCAAAATAAATAATTTAGCACAAACTGTTCATTTTAAAGAAAACTTGGAAACTTAGAAAGGACCGTATCTCTGATCTCATATCAAACCATATCTCTAAACCTCTAATTACATAAGTATAAATATCAAGATTCTAGATTACTTGCTGGAACATTTAATTTTCCATTCTCCCCTCCAACCTGTCTTCACCCTTGCTTCAGTTCCTTCATAAACCTTCCTGACAGGCTGCCATTCTCTCTACCAGGTAAGTTCCAACAATAATGCAAACTCATTCAAACTGTAATTCATCTTATTTAAGGGTAGACTGAACTTCTCAATTTAAAAAACAAACAAACAATTGAAATACATGAGACAGATAGACATGGTACAACATTTCTTTGGAAATAAAAAAGATGTTAAGAATTCAATATTAAATCTGTGTAGTACAACAGTAAAAGTGCTGACATCAGAATTATATGTACCACCTACTGATCTTTGCAAATTTGTTATATTAAAAAAAAATTGTAAATATAATACAATTTAAAAAAAACGAAAGTGCACATGGTGTTGTGTTTTGTGTTATACATATTTCCAAAATATCAGATTTGCAAGCACCATCTAAGAACAAACGACAACATACAAACTAAATATAATCCATGTTCTGGAAATGTTTGGAAATGGAAATAACTTTAAAATACTTACATTTATAAAGCATTCTTTTAAAATATATATCAGATGAATTTTAACAGGTCCCTAACCTCCTAAAACAACATACAAAATATTCAGAATTCTTTTTCATTCTTAAAGTTATCTCCTCAACATTTCTGAGACACAAATGTTACTGTTGTGAAAAGAATGGAAACTCACTGAATGAAGTACAAAAATATGTTTTGGAGGTGCTATGAATTGAGATCTGCTAAGTAATTACAGTATGTTGTCTTGAAAGTCTTCAGTTATTATCTGGATCATTGATTACTTACAGAGGTTTCAGTGGTATGTGCGTTTCCTTCTCTGTTTTTGATATCCCAGGAATTGGAGGAAGAGGTAGAAGCTCCTTAGGAATTGGTTTAGGAGGCCTAAACAAAGTTCAAAAAGTATGAAACAGGGTGACTGCACTGGGCGTGTGTTAAAAAGAAAACCAATTATAAAATATTTTTTAATGCATTTTACAGGCCTCATGCCTGTAGTGAATGAGTTAATGTAAATATTAAATAAAAGAGAATATGTGCCAGTAATGACTGATAATGTTTTCCCAATATGAATAGACAAAAATATGATACAATGATAGTTTTCTACCATCCACGTTTTAACAATAGATATGTAATAATCTTTTCTGTTGAAAAATAAAGCTTGAGATTTAAAATAAATTATGTTTAGTGCATTATATATTTTAACTACACCTACTGTAATTGTAAAGTTGTTGCTGTTTTGATATTGAGTATTGTAGTGCCACGCAGGGCGCTTTAGCCATGTGCACGCAAGGCTGGCTGAGAACAGCGCCTGGGGGTGGGACTAGGTGAGTTTAAATAGTGGGGCAGAAGCTGGGAGACAGCCTCTTCCTTTTGCTTCTGTGTGTTAGTGAAGATGCAACTCTGTAACCCCTGTCCCTGTGTGTGTACCTTTCCCCGGTTCTAGTTAATAATTGTGTTGTTCAACCCCATACCTTGAGTCCCATGCCTGCTCGATCCTGTACTGAAACCCACGGTGGTTACAGTATTTTAATGTTTTACTATAGCTTGACTTTGAAAAGAAGTTTGATAAGGTGATAAAGAAAAGGTGCTGCATAAAATGAAAATGGAATGATATTAATAGTTGGGCAGAGTGTAATAAAGCATCACAAATAGTTATATAGCATGAAATAAAAAGTAATGATGCTGATTATCTACAAAAAAAATTAAAAGTAATTAATTAATTTATTCCCAAAATATATTATGCATTATATAAAATAATATATTATATAAAAATATGACAAATAAACCAATCTTTTTTGTCCCAGTTGTTCTTAATAATAATCATTACTTATGACATTTTAATTTTTTAAAGCTACATAGAAGTATTAATAATGTTACAGTTGTAGATGATAATGGATATTCTAAAAATCTTGAAACAATGGGTAATGCCTGGCAGTGCAAACATTTCCAACTTCAAAGCAAAGAGGATGTTTGCTGAGATGTAGGGAGACCAGATTCTGTGATCAACAAAGTCATAAAGTTGACCTTGTTTTAGGTTTGTTAATTAAGTTCTGGACAAATGATTAAGTGTGAATCAACAATCCAGAATGACATGATTAAGATCAGATCAAGACAGAGAAAAGGGAAGAAAATGAAAAAGAAGGAAAAGATGATCAGATCGCAAAAACGAGAGGAGGCGGCTAGAGAACTTGAAGCTTGGGCCAGGTGAGAGTTCCTGATTTGAGATCATCTGAAAAGATCTGATTGGAGCTTAGTATTTGAGAGCTTTCTAGTCTGGGTTTTTGGGAACTTAAAAATGGCCTTTACTGTTTGGTGTGTGTATTTTTAAAGTTTGTTAGATATCTTGGTTTGCAGAGAGAGAGATTTAACTGCTGGTTGTATTGCATTTATTTTAGAAGGCAGCTTAACTCGTATTTGGGCCACTATAGGCAGTATTTAAGCCTCAAATGCTTGGTAGCATTTCTTGGGAAGTTTCAAAGCAAGAATGGAACTAAAGTGTTTACTGAGTTGCATTAGGTCTGAAACACACTGATCAATATTTATTATGTTGTTACAGCTATTATCAGTGATTACTGAAGTGTCATTAAGAATCTAGATACAATGGTAAACATCTATCTAGGGTAAACATCTGAAGTTCTCAGAGCTTCAAAGCAAGGACTATGGTATACTAAGTTGTGCTGGGTGAGACAGAGAGAGACAGGGGTCAGAGTCACACTGAGAGAGAGAGACTGAGAGGCAGCACAGAAGATGAGCTCCTAATTTCTTTGAGATTTTATTGTTTTCTGGAACTGAACAAATAGTCTAGGAATAAGGCAACATCTAACAAAACTAAAGAAAACTACAGAAGTAAAGAAATAATTTGCCATTGGAAAAAAAAATCAACAAAGCAAACATCTAAAAAACTGAAGATCAACTATAAGACACAGCTACACCTGAGGATAAAGGACCTGAGGAAAAACTCCAAAAAGAAAAATCCCCAAGAGATGAAGAGGAACAAACAGAAAAGGAATCATTAAAACAAGGATATAAGAATAAGAAAGAAAGAAAGAAAGAGAAAAGTACACCAAAGGAAACAAAAAGGAAAGGGAAAATACAAGCAGCATCAAGAGAAGCCAATAACTCAGCCATCAACACGAAAAACACCTGGTAAGCCCTGTTCTTTCTTCTCCTTTCTTGAAGAGACCTCTAAAAAATTGAACTGCTTTGCTAGATAAAAGTTTAAAAAGTGTTTAGGAAAAGTTACCTTAAAGTTTAAATTAAACAAAATACCACTTGGGCCCACTACACTCAAAAGGCCAAAGTTGAAGAACCTGTTCCCAAGCAACAGGGGGCTGATTGTATTCAAAACGCCAGAGCCAGGCCGTCTGTTTGCTCTTCTCACCTGGGCCCATTGTATTTAAAAGAGCAAGATGAGTACAGAGCAGAACACAGCCCCACTGGACCAGCCCTGCCCCCTCAGCACAGTACTCCAGTACCCTGAGGACGTGAAAACCGTTAAGACCAGGAAACAGTACAAAGACTCCTGGATGAAAGAAAACCCCGGGGCCCTTCTTTGTTGCTTCTTGCCGGGCGGGGGAAAACCCCTTAAAACTGTGTCAGATAACAAAGAATTGTAGTACTTATTGCTTGAGTATATTCTTGACAAAATCTTTACAAATTGGGAGGTTACGATTACATAAGGATTTGATGAACTCCCTCAGCCTAATCATGATATTTTGTATTTTTGTAACATATATTTGGAACAACAACAACAACAGCAACATAAACAATATTATTATTATTATTATTATTATTATTATTATTATTATTATTATTATTATTATTATCAATGGCTTACACCTCTACATTTCTTGGAAACTGTGTGCAAAACATTTCCCCTGCCTTGATACAAAACTGTTTCTCTTGAATTTTGAAACATTTGTCTTGTTGGCCCTCAGCTAAGTGAGTTAAGGCAATTTTTCCTATATTTAAATATTCAACAAGCATTCTTAAACACACTTAGATCACGGATGTCATTATTTCTCATGAAATGAAGAATACTAAATGAAAAAAAAATCTGATAGAAAAGCTTTCAATATTTTTTTACTAGCATTTCCATTTTCCTTTTCTGTAAATATTACAGATTTTGCATTCATCCAGCATTGAAAAAAGTACATTAAAATAAATTAAAATACTTTTTCTTGAAGAACAAATCGCTTTAAATACAGATTGATTTGAGAAGGAAGAGATAAAACTTATAATCATAGGCCAAATTATTTACATTTTTTACAACATTTGTCTGATATCCATCCATTATCGGTAAGCCACTTATGCATTGTAAGGGTCATGACACCCGGAGTCTATCCAGGAAAGCCCAGGGCTACATCATGATTCTGTTTTGATAGTGCGGGACTAGAGTCCTTTAAAATGTCCACACGTTTTCACCACTTTTCTTTGGAATGAAGGAAAAACCAGAACACCCAGTGAAAACCCATGCAAACACGGGGAGCACATGAAACCATTTACTCCACACAGATTGAAACAAACACACGAGCTGCACTGCGAACTGCCATGCTGCCCCTTTTGTTCAACAATACATTGTAAAAAAATCCACTGTTGAGTCATAATGCCTTCTGGTGAAATGTTTTGACTGCATTTTGGGTTGTGTGCCTGAAATGTGAATACCAAAAGGTCTGTATTAATCAATCTATCCAATCTGTAGCTGTGCAGCTGGTGTTCCAACATGTAAACAAAATAAAAAAATAGAAAACAAGTTATTTATTTTAGTCTGATGAGCTGTGAGTAGAATTTTAGAATTCAGACAAAATAAATTGGGATTTTTTTATTCATTCTCAAAATTATCAGAATTAAAATGGACTCAAAAATGCACAAACAATTCAGAAGTGAAGAAGAGTCAACTGTTACCTTGGCGGATGCTGTAGGTTCTGAAAGAACAGAAATAAAACATATCTTAGTATCCTTTTCAAATTGTGCAGGTTAAAAAAACATCCCTGTTTTCTTACAAAGTCATTTCAGAATCTTAAAGAGTTTATTTCATGATTGAGTTAAAGATTTGATCGATTTATGATTGCATATAATAATAAAGGACAGAGAAAATAAATTAAATAAAAAATTAAATAATTTAT